AACCTGCAACCCTGGCATTAAATGCCCTTGACTGGGCATTGAACTGGCGACCTCTTGCTTTCTGGAAGGACACCCCACCAAGTGAGCCACTCCTGTCAGAGCGACAGGTTTACTTCTTCCTTGCAAATATGAATACCTTTCGTTTCTTTTTGCCTGTTGCTCTGGTTAGAACTCCTAGCACAAGGCTGATGAGCAGCAGTGAGAACAGGTGTGTTTTCCTGATCTTGGTGGAAGAACTTACCCTTTTACTACTTTTTCCAATGTTAGTTGTGGGGCTCTTTTTAAAACTATTTTATTTATTTATTTTTACAGGGGTAGGGAGAAAGGGGGAGGAAAACATCTCGCATGCCCCCTACTGGGGACCTGGCTTGCAACCCAGGCATGTGCCCTGACTGGGAATCGAACCAGTGACCCTTTGGTTTGCAGGCCTGGGTTCAACCCACTGAGCCACACCAGCCAGGGTGTGACTGGTTTTCTTATGATGAACCACCCTGCACGGGGTGAATATGGGGATATACTACTATACTGCTGGATTCAATCTGCTCGTGGTTTTTTTTTAGAGTTTTATAGCCATAAAAGATCTTGATATGAATTTTCTTGTGATGTCTTTGTTTGGTTTTCCTTTCTCTTTTAGTATTCGGAAGACTGTGGATAAAACTGGTATTAATTCTTCCTTAAATGTTCGGTAGAACTAACCAGTAAAGCTGTTTGGTCCTGACCTTTCCTTGGCTAGAAAAATTTTAAATTATTGATTCAATATTTTGTTGTTATGGTCTGTTTCTTTTTTTTAATTGAAAAAATTTTATGGACTTTAGAGAGAGAGGAAGGGGGGGAAAGAGAGCAGAGAGAGAGAGAAACAAACACTGATTTACTGTTCCACTTATTTATGCATTCAGTGGTTGATTCCTGCATGTGTTCAAACCCATAACCTTGGGTCAGTGCTCCCCTCTCTCTCCTCACCCCAACTTCTCTCTCTAAAATCATTTTTTAAAAATAGAGGAGAAGTGAAGACATTCTGATAAAGGATGAGGATGTTTACTGCCAACAGGCCTGCCCTTCGAGAAGCACTAAGGGCGGCCCCGGAGGTGCAAGGACAGTGGGTGGGGCTGAGAGCTGCACCAGCAGATGAAGATCTCCGGCAGCGGGGACTGCAGAGGCACGTACAAAAGCTAGTGTTATTGCATTTTTGGTTTATGATTCCACTTTCTATTTCCTACATGTTTAAAAGACAAATGCATAAAATAATGATAGATTTTTAAAAAAAACTTTTATTTATTGATTTTAGAAAGAGGAAGGGAGAAACGGAGGTGAGGGGAGAGAGCGAGAGAAACAATTTCTTGTTCCACTTACAAATTCAGTGGTTGATTCTTGTATGTGCTCTGAAATGGGATTGAAGCCTGCAACCTTGGGGTATCAGGATGATGCTCTAACCAACCGAGCTACCCAGCCAGTGCTACATAAATTTGTGTTTTGAACACAATGTAGAAGATGCATCTGTGGCAAGAGCAGCATAAAGAGGGTGACGGAGCTGTACAGAAGTGGGAGTTTTGTGTGCTATTGCAGCTGAGTTAGTATCAATTCAAATGTGACCATTTTACTCTGGGATCTAATACATAGCATGGTGACTGGAGTTAACAACACTGCACTGTACACTTGAAAATTGCTAAGAGAGTAGATCTTAATTACCACATCAAAAACATGGTAACCATGTGAGGTAATGGATGTGTTAACTGAACTTAGGGTGATGAGCATTTGCAACATGTACGTACCTCAAACTTTCATGGCTCATCTTCCACTCACACGATGTCCAATGTCAACTGTATTCCAATAAAGCATGGGGTTGGGGAACAAGCCACAGAAGGAGGAACAAAATGACTGCTTTAGGACGTTAGGATGTTAACTGTAACCCCCACTAAGAAAATGTCCTTAAAATAAACACACAAGAAGAAGAAAATCTACATAGTACATTACAAAAAATAAACTAAACACAAAAGAAGACAGTTACAGAGAAAATGAGGGACATAAATGATAAGGGGTTTAAACTGTCAAAAGGCATTTATTGCTGGAATAGGTTTTCTTTTTTTAAAGTATGATCATACGACATATTCTGTCTAACAGTGGGCTTACTTTAGATCCAGTGATACAAGTGAGTTTAAAGTGAAAGGTGAGCACCGGCTGGGGTGGCTCAGTGGACTGAGTGCTGGCCTGTGAACCAAAAGCTCACTGGATTCCCAGTCAGGGCACAGGCCTGGGTTGTGAGCCAGGTCCCCAGTGGGGGGACTGCAAGAGGCAACCACACATCGATGTTTCTCTCCCTCTCTTTCTCCCTCCCTTACTTTCTCTGTAAACATAAAATCTTTTATAAAATAGTAAAAAATAAAGTGAAAAGTGAAAAACGACATGCCATGCAAACTGTAACCAGAAGACAGCTGAGGTGACTGAATACTGGACACAATTAAAATAAGTCAAAAACTGTTTTATGAGAAAAGAAGATTACATATTGATAAAAAGATCAGTTCTTCAAGAAGATAGAACATTATAAACAAACTTACCAAAAAGGAACCCTAAAATATATGAAGCAAACAGATTTGAAAAGGAAAAACGGTTTTATAATAATGATAGTTAGAGACTTCAATGCCTCATTTCCAAACATGGACAGAACATCTAGACAGAAGATCAATAATGAAACAGGGAACAGCTGGACTTCATAGACGTACACACCACCCAAAAGACCAGGTACACACTCTTCTCCATTATACATGGAACATTCTTCAACACAGATTATGTTAAGTCACAAGACAAGTTTCAGTAAATTTTAAGAGACTGAAATGATGTAAAGTTTCATGTCCAACCAATGATAGCAGAAAAAGTCACAAATACGTAGAAATTAAACAACACACTCCTAACCAATGGGTCAAGGAAATAATCACAAGGAAAATTAGATAATACCTACACACGAATAAAAACACAAACACAAAACGTCAAAGCTTATGGCACGCAGGGAGGGTACTGTGAAAGGGAAGATCTAAAAAGGTTTTAAGTCAGTAAGGCAACGTTACACCTTCAGGAACTACAAAAAGAAGAGCAAACCGCACCCACTGCTAGCAGAAGGCAATCACACTAGGGCCGAGATCAATGAAATAGAAAAACAACGGAGAGCTAACGAAATCAAATGTTTTGTTTTTGAAAAGGTGAACAAAACTGACTAACCTTTAGACTAACTGAAATAAAAGAGCAGACGAGAAAAGTCAGAAATGAAAATGGAGCGTCAATGCAAACCCTACAGAGTAAAAAGGAGCATGAGAGCATCGGTAACAGCTGTGCACTGACAACCTGGGTAACCTGGATGAAAAAGAGATTCCTGGAAGAAGCACAGATGACCAAAAGCAATTCCAAAATAGGGAGAGGCCAGGTGGCTGGGTCGCACGGAACACTGTCCTTGTCGCCACGGTTGCAGGTTTGATCCCTGGGCAAAGCACACACTGGAATCAGCCAGCGAATGCATAAATAGGTGGAACAATAAACGGAGATTTACTTTTTTTCTCTCTCCCTCCCTCTTAAAAAAAAAAATAATAAAATATATATATATATATATATACATGCCTTGGCTGGTGTGGCTCAGTGGGTTGAGTGCTGGCCCGCAAACCAAAAAGTTGTCAGTTCAATTCCCAGTAGGGCACATGTCTGGGTTGTGGGTCAGGTCCCTGGTTGGGGGCGTGTGAGAGGCAACTAACTGATGTTTCTCTTGCACATGGATGTTTCTCCCCTCCACCCAAAAATAAATAAATAAATGAACGAACGAACGAATGAATAAAATCTAAAAATAAATAATCAGTAAAAAAATAAACACCGCAGAGCTTTCCTACCATTTTAAGTTGCCTTTTCCTTGATTCTGCATTGGCTTGGTTGCTCTAAGTCTATTTTCTAGATTTCTGACAAAGTTGGTTGAAACAGTTTCTGCTGTTTCTACACAACGTTTCTGTGGCCCCGGCCAGGTGGTTCAGTTGGTTGAGGCACCATCCCCTACCACAAGGCTGTGGGTTTGATTCCTGGTTGGGGCAGTTGGGAGGCAACCAATCGATGTTGCTCTCTCTGTCCCCCTTCTCTCTCAAGTCAATGAAGATATCCTTGGGGGAGAATTAAAAGTAATAATAAAAATATTTATGTGGAAGAACAGGTGTTTGGAGCTGCCTACTCCACCATTTTGTCCACTGTGGCTCCTTAAACTTGACCTGTTTGTTTTCTGGAGCAAACGTCCCAGCTGCCCTCCCCGTTCTCTGCCCAGCGTGCCCATGGCCTCTGCCTGGGGCAGGAAGCAGGCCTCTATTTCAGAGCCGCCTCGTGGGAGCACGTCTCTTCCCCGCCCTCCGTGACACGCGTCCGACTGCCCCCCGCTGACCTCCTCTGCCTTCAGCCCGGCCTTCCCTGGCCACACTGGTTCTGACAAGGGTGCTCTGCCCAGTTGTCCCGAGTCAAACAGTAGATCCCTGTAGGACACAAGTGTCCTCTTGTGCAACAGCTCTCGTCAGACTCCAGCAGGGAAGGCTCAGGCTGAGCAGGCAGCCTGAGTACCGCTGAGATGTCCACAGGGGAGGGAGCTGTGAGGCGTGAGGAAGGACCCTCTGGGAAGGTCCTGAAGGGCTTGAATGCAGCTGGGCAGGTGAAGGAAGGCAGAGGGAACCAAGGCCTGACTGGGGCAGAAGTGAGGGGAGGGGACAGCCACTCCTGGTGGCTGGGCCGGGCAGGGCTCAGCTGGTAGCCATATACTGTGCCCCTGTGTGCCAGGTGGGAAAACCAGAGCATCATACTCAGGGCACCAGGGCTACCAGGGACCAGGCCTGCTTCCTCTCTGACACCCAGCCCCGGCCCCTCCAGTCCACAAGGCACCCCACCCCTAAAGATGACACGGGCAGCTAATGAACTAATGGGGGTAACTGCAGGGTGATACGGACAGAGTTCCCCCAGAATGAGGGCACCAGGGGAGAATTCAGTCCCAGTACCTGGCTGCTGATGGTGCCGGGGAGCAGCTCCCCGCTCAGCGTTGCCGCAGCAGAGTAGAGTTCGAAGTGCAGGTGCAGGGCGGGTCACGGTGGGCACATTGCTCACACGGGCTGCAGGGGTCCATGGGGATGATCCAGGAACTGAGGGCTCCATTTCCACCTCTTCAGAGCAGGCTCTGAGGCTGGGCATGCCTGGGACCTGCAGGCCAGAAAGGGCACTGGTAAGTGTGCAAAGGGCTGGCCGCAGGGACCCACCCACCCACCCACCTACCTGGGGGGAGTCTCTTCCTCTACCCCGCAGCCCGAGACTGAGGAAAACCTGCTGCCGAGTCTCAGGGACCTGCACTACTGACCCAGACCCAAAAGGAGGGTCAGACAGCCACAGGGACACCGAGGGTGAGAAGTCCACAGGGCCCTGTAGGCAGGCCCTGGAAACACCCAAGCCTGCCTCAGCAGGAGCGTAGCCGCACAGAGCCTGCACCCACTGTGGGCCCAGCCCTCACTCCTGACAATGCCCTGAAGGTAGACCCCTGAGCCACTCTCAGGGGGACCAGCAGTTCCAGAGTATGGGTAGCCAGTGGCAGCCTGTGCTAGGGACATGGCTGTGGTCACCTAGTAGCCACTCCTGTCTGAGCTGTGGCAGCATCCACAGTAGACCTCCTCATCCCCACCCCTAGGCCATCCTCCCTCTGCACCAGCAGTTCCCTCCCAGGCACTTTATCCCCCTCTTCATGTCGGTGTCCCAGGCTTCACTGCCACAGAGGAAGGGCCCCAACAGCAACTTCCATGGCGGATGGGCCAGTCCTGTGGTATCAATAGCCCTTATCCTGTGAAGACTCCCAAACTGGGCTCCTCTCCAGCCCCAATAGCCCCCCTGAGTGGGGATACACCCCTCAGCACCTCATCCACACTGCATCAGTGACAGGTCCACGGACCCCTCCACCTTTCAGGGCTGAAGAAGATGAGGTAGGAAAGTTGGCAGAAGCCCATTGTAGCCATTGCCTGCCAATCTATGGCCTGAATTTAAAAAAAGTTTATGTATAGATTTTATAAAGAGAGAGAGGAAGGGGAAGAGACATGGTGGCGGGGGCAGGGCGGGGAGAGAAACATCAATTTGTCCCACTTATTTCTGAATTCGTTGGCTGTTCCTTGTATGTCCCCTCACCTGAGATCAAACCTGCAACCTTGGAGTATCAGGATTAAACTCTAATCAACTGAGCTACCCAGCCAGAGTGGATTTTTCTTCTTGGACATGTGTTTTCAGTGTTTTCCAAACACCCATCATATGCCTGGGTCCGTCCTGGGGACGCTGTGAAAACAGAGCAGTGACTGTGGCACTCACAGACTTCAATGGGGAGACATCACAGCAAATGCATCAATGAGGTGGGCAAGTGTTCTGGGCAAAGGCAGCAGGGAAGGGCTGCAGCCCTGGGGCTGGAAAGCATTTAAACCAGGCCCAGAAGGGGTTTTAGGCCACACTGGTTAGAAAGGCGGAAGAAGCAGGGGTGAAATGGGGCAGAGCTGTGGTCAGAGCCCAGAGGCAGGGTTACTGAGAGACAGACTATAAGAAGCCTTGGCTGCCTCATGAAGGTGAGGCATGAGGCACCAGCCACATTTCTGTTACAAAAGAGAACAGATGAATCATGTCGGGAAGGTTAGCCTGGCACTGGTGGCAAGTGGGACGCGGAGATGAAGTGTAAAGCAGGGAGAGCACTGGTGTCCATCCATGCAGCAAGAGAACAGAGCAGAAGCCGCTTCTTCCATGGGGCTGGGGAGCGGGGCAGCTTCACTCTCCCTCTCCCAAGGGGAGACTCGGTCATTTAGTTCATTTCACTTTAAGTTTCTTGAAATCGTCACCACTGTAACCAAACAGGGGCACAGGCATGGGACTCAAAAATCAAGTTAAAAAGTATCTCCCAGCCAGCCACTCATTTCCCCTTCCTAGTTTCTCATGTACCCTTCCAGAACGAGCTTCACAAGCGAATATGTATACTTTCTCTTTGCCTTTTCAATATAAAGTGTAACAAACTATGGTCGTTTAGATCTTGTTTGTCTGGATCTTGCCCAGGAGGGCACAGACCCAATTGGTGGTAGAGGGAGGGCCCCTGCCCACCCACATCCACATCCTATTGCCTGGGGTCTGTGGATATGCTACACTATACATAAAATATACTTCGCAGAGGGAATTAAGGTTTGGGCCCAGGGTATCCTACTGGACGCCAAATAATTACAAGAGTCAAGTTGCTGACGATCTGAGACACGGGGCAAGGGCAAGGATTGGGGCCTCTAACGGATAAGGACAGGAAGTCAGTCAGTAAGAAAACATGCACTTCAGAACAACGACCTCAAGAAACTGGATTATGCCAAAGAACCTGGAAGCAAGTTCTCATTCTTTAGTGCCTAACCTAGTGCTGAGAAAAGAGACAAGTGGAGCGTCCAGCAGTCACCAGACCACGGCAGGCACCCACGGGATGGACACGACCCATCCACCCCTCAGACCCACTCCGAAGGCCCCCGGGCCCCTTCTCCACCCGGACCGCGAATCCGCCACCGGCGGGGCCTCCAGGCGGGACACCAGGGGCTGCGCGACAGCCCACCCCTCACAGCCCGACGTCCGCGCTTAATTGCCGAGGCTCTTCCTGCATCCCCACCGCCAAGACGCCATTCCCCGCACACCTGCCCCGTCGCCGTGGCAGGTGCGCCAGGCGCACCCGCTGCCCGGACCCCAGGCTGCGGCCGGTCGGCCACTACGACGCCCCCTCCCGAGGGCACCACCCAAGCCACCAAGGCTCGGACCCCGCCCAGGCCGAGCTGCGCCTGCCCCTGCGCCCGCGGTTCCCACAGCCCCCCGCCCGTCCGCCCTAGACAGCCCGGGGCTGGCACCCACCGCGGGGCCAAGGACATCACGCGGGAGCGCGGTCGGCAACGTGTAGGTTTAACCCTCGCGAACCTCCGCCGCGGGGTCGCTCCGGGAAGGACGCAAAGCCACGACCCGATCGCCCCGAGGCGGATCCGGAAGTCCCGCCCCGACTTCCCGTCGAGGGCCCGCCCAGCCCGGGCCCGCGCGACCGCTCTAGGCGGCGGGAGGCCGCCGCGACTCTGTGGGTCCGCCCCCCCACTCCCCGCAGGCGGGAGTTCCAGCGGGGTCGCCGCCGTCAGAGCCCGTCCGTGTAACTAAATATAAAAAGACGACCAGTCAGCCCTGGCCAGGTGGCTCAGTGGGTTGGAGCGTGGTCTCGTACCCCAAAGGGTAGGGGTTCGATCCCGGTCAGGAGTCGTGCTTAGGCCGCGGGGTGGGGTGGGGTGGGGTGGGTTGACCCCGCAGGGCCCGGCGCGTGTCGGAGGCAACCGAACCCTGCGTCTCTCTCCAGTCTTACTGTGGCCTGGCTCTGAGCGAAAACTTTCTCACCAGCAGACTTTATAAGCTCCCCCTCTGAATGAACAACAGTTCTGAGCGGGATCGCGGGAACAAGCCTGTCGCCCGGCCGTCGGGGGTGTGGAGCCGTCATTGCCCCGAGGGGGACGAGAACCGTGGGTGCGCGGAAGGATGCAGGCAGGTGAGACCCACCTGAGGCCACGGGTGCCCGCCAGCGCCGCACCGTGAGGTGGACCCGGGCTCACTTCCCGGGACGTGGGAGGTGGTGCCCATCGCTCCTTGGAGGCAGCTTTAATTAAGGCTGCTTCTCCGTGTCCAAGGGACTCAGACGTGCGAGTAAAAATGGGGCTTTTCATTCTTGATGTAACGTCTAACACATTTCCGTTAGTGTAAGAGAGCGATTTTTCACGGTGTGCCGCGGCGATTTTTAAGACACACAGTACCAGCCCTGGCTGGGTGGCTCAGGGGACTGAGCGCCGCCTGTGAAGCCAAGGGTTGCGGCTTGGATTCCAGGTCTGGCACATCCCTGGGTTGCTGGACGGTCCCCGGTGGGGGGCCCGCCAAAGGCAGGCAGACATTGATGTTTCTCTCCCTGTCTTCCATCTAAAAATAAATACAGAAAATCTTTACCAAAGGGAGGAAAAATCGACATGCAATACCTGACTTAGTCAGTGCCTTAGTCAATGCGATGACCCCTTTTCCCTTATATTGTCAAATAAACAAAGGACAACAGCCAACGCAATAGCCGTCAGGTGTGATGACCCAAAATTATACCTATTTTTCTGTGAGATGAGCAAAAGTATATTTTTTAGTGTCAGATGAGCAAAAACTATAATTTTAGTAATTAGTTTGTGTGCCGTGAGATAAGTTCGAACATCGCTGGTCTGTGACATCAGAAAACAAAGTTCCTCCGCAGGAAACCAGAGAGGCGAAATGTCGACACTTCACAGCTGCACGTCTGTTGGAGAGAAATATTGCCTCCTATGAGGAGGCAGCTGATTTTAGCTGCCTTGGCTATTCCAGTGCAAGGAATAGCTTCAGAGATTTTTTTCTTTCTCATTCTGAGCTAATTTGTATTTCCTCATCCCTGAAAAGTGTGAGTATTTCCTGTCCTCTGACATTCCCTGTATGAAAGGGGAAAAGATACACTTTTTTTATTTTTTTTGAGAGTATCAGAATCTTTCCTCAAGGGAAATCTGGCCTCTTCTTCTTTCGTAAGGTTCAGGTTTCTCTTTAGCAGGTTTAATGGTTTTGCACTTATACTGAGAAAGACTTGAGCAGGCCATCTACCCATTTCATTCTACAGATGCCATCAGTATTATTCAAGGCCACAATGTCTGTCACCAAACTTTCCTAATTACCACTCTGGGTCTGGGCATTTGACAATGCACAGCTTCTGCCTTTGAGGGGATTACCTGCTACTACTGAGTTATGGGACTCGTTTTCATGACAGCCTGAGGGAAACAGCCACCGTAGTCCCTCACAGACATTGGTGCCCTCCCCAATGCCCTTCTCAAAGCCTAGGGGAAGAGAGTGTCTGTGACCCTTCCTGGGGGCTGTAAGTGGGGTAGGCGAGCAAGTCCCCTATCCACTCCAGCATTCCTATATCTCTGAGCCTCTAGTCTCCGCTGTAAACTCCTGCAGTTCTGGCACACCTTGGAAGGAGTCACTAGAAGGGCACAGTGTCCACAGAGCAGAGCTCAAGTTGCTGGATTTCAAACTGTCCTGGCTGATGTCATCTCCCTGTGTCTAGGATGGTTCAGGCGCTGAAGGCCTGTGCCATGCTGGTGTCCTTGGAATGCTGTGCATCTGCGGGCACTGGTCTCACTTTCCTCCAGAAGGTTCTTTCTATCCATGGAGGAAATCTAAGGCCTTCTGTTCTCAGGTATAACTGATTTACTTGGTTTGGAAGCCAAGAGGCACCAAATAGGTGACTGCTCTGTATTAATTATCACACGTAGTACCGACAGGCTGTGTACCATGAGTTCACAACAGCCCGGCTCCCAGCCAATATTAAAGGCACCTTCAAAGCATGCAGCCAAGCCCTGGCCAGTGTGGCTCAGTTGGTTGGAGCATTGTCCCATAGACAGAGGGTTGTGGGTTCAATCCCTACTTCTGGTGACTCTGCCTCACCTGGAGTCCTCTCCTCTGCAGCAGAAGGACCAGCCAGTTCCCCCACCATCTGCTCAGTGCCAGGGGCCCTGTGGATGGAACCTGCTGCTGCTGCTCACCTTCTCTCCCCAAGAAACTGCCACCTTGGTTTCAAAAACAAAACCTGTATGTTGTGCCCCATGTTCCCATGTGTCTACTTCATGCCCATTTCCCTCCCAATTCACAGAGTCTTTTATGTCCAAATTATGGAAAAATCCAATTTGCATGTTTCCTTTGACTTCTTGGTAGGATCTCAAGTTTGATTCTACATACGAGCCTCAACTCATTCTTTAAAAAACTTGCTGGGACTTCCACCAAGATGGAGGCATAGGTGGATGTGCCGTGCCTTCTCACATAACCTAGTTTAGAGACAACTAAATATTAGCAACAGAAATCACAGCCAGAACACGGAAAATTGAACTTTTCGGAAGTCCGTTAACAACAAATTCTTCAGCCTGACCGGTAAGGGGCGAAACCAGCGGCTGGTGAGGGGTTGCACAGGAGGACTCGGTCAGACGGACTCAGGCGCAGAATCCAGACGCGCGGAATCCAGGCGCAGGGTTGGACCTAGTGAGCGACCGCGAAGGAGACAGAGGGGAAGCGGTGCTGCGTGTTGACTGTGGTCGCCCATTTGTGCGCCAGCGGACAGGCGAGGGAGTGAGCGGTTGGACCGGGGCTCCGGCGGTCCCCGTGGCAAGTGGCAGTAGAGGGCGCCGCTATTTCCCCGCTCTGACCACACCCCCACATATAGCGTCACAACCCAGCGACCTGGGAGTCCAAGGCACGGCTTCTCACACTTAAAGGGCCAGAACAGACCAAAAATGTCGCAAGTTCTCAAAGCCCCAGAGCCCATAGATCTAAGCGATGAAGAAATAGCAAAACTCTCAGACACACAGTTTAAAACACTGGTCATCAGGATCCTCACAGAACTGGTTGATTATACCGACAAATTAGACAAATATATGAAGGCGAAACTAATTGAAATGAATGGAATTGCACAGGACACCAACAGCAATGAAAAGGAAACTGGGACTCAAATCAATGGAGTGGACCAGAAGAAAGCAAATAATGGCCAAACAGAAAAGAGTGAAGAAGCAAGAATTCAAAGAAATGAGGAGAGTCTTAGGAACCTCCAGGACATCTTTAAAGGCTCCAACATCCGAATTATAGGGGTACCAGAAGGGGGGAAAGGCACAGCCACCAGTGGAAAACTTATTTGAACAAATAATAAAGGAGAATTTCCCCAATCTGGCAAAGGAAATAGACTTCCAGGAAATCCAGGAAGCTCAGAGAGTCCCAAAGAAGTTGGACCCAAGAAGGAACACACCAAGGCACATCATCATTACATTAGCCAAAATTAAAATGAAGGAGAGAATCCTAGAAGCAGCAAGAGCTAAGGGGACAGTCACCTACAAAGGAGTCCCCATCAGACTGTCAGCAGATTTCTCAAAAGAGACCTTACAGGCAAGAAGGGTCTGGAAAGAGGTATTCCAAGTCATGAAATCTAAGGACCTACAACCAAGATTGCTCTACCCAGCAAAACTTTTATTTAAAATGGAAGGACAGATAAGGTGCTTCTCAGGTAAGATCAAATTCAAGGAGTTCATCATCACCAAGCTCTTATTATATGAAATGTTAAAGGGACTTATCTAAGAAAAAGAAGTTAAAGAAACATGAACAGTGAAAGGACAGCAAACTCACAGTTATGAACAACCACACCTAAAACGAAAGCAAACTAAAAGGACAGCTAGATCAGGAGTGGAAACATAGAAATGAAGATCTCAAGGAGGGTTAGCAACAGCAGAGTGGGAGGAGGAGATGGGGGGAGAAGGTACAGAAAATAAGTAGCATAGACAGTAGATAGAAAATAGAAGGGGGGGCAAGAATAGCATGGGAAATATAGAATCTAAAGGACTTGAGACACATGGTCATAAACTAAAGGGGGGGTAATGGTGGGGAAGGGGGGTAGGGTGGAGGGGAATGAAGGGGGGAATAGAACAACTGTAACAGCATAATCAATAAAAAAATTAAAAAAAAAAACAAACTTGCTTATACTCATGAGGTGACTCTCCTGTGTGGGTCACCAGATTTTTGAAGTTAAAGTTACCATACCTGTCTCAATAGAACAGAAACATTTTGAAGAAACCCAAACAAACAAGCAAAGAAACAATGAAACAAGAAAACTCCAGTGGTGTGTGGTTCCCTCAGACTTGAAACTGCAAGGATCCCCCTTACTTCCAAACTCCAAGAGACAGACTGGAGCTGGGTGGGTGCACGCTGGGAACTGTCAGTATGTGTGACTTTCGGAACCGCAGATCCGGTTTTACTTTAGGCTAAAAGGTAGCCCGAAGTTTCACTCTCAGGAAAGCCTTCCCAGCCAGCCTCTAATACACAGCCCACCCCCAACCCCACAGCACCTCCGTGCAAAGAAACCCTCTTCAGGTAGAAGCAAGCCTCTTTCCCCTGGCCCAGCCACTGTGGCCCTAGGTGACCACAAGGCCCAGCCCTGGTCAACAAAACACAAGGGGCAGATTGCCAAGAGGCTTCCAGGAAGAGCTTTCCTTCCCCTGTCACAAGGAAACAATGAGAAACACCTCTGTTTGGAGTGACCACAAGGGAAAACCAGGAGAACCTCGAAGACACATTCCAGGAGAAACCCTGGGCCCATCTTCATCACTGAAGCCTGTGTTGCACAGGTTTTCCCGAAAGGCAGGTGACCCCAGGCATGTGGATGCCCAAGTCATTCCTCAGGGCGGGGACTTTCCCAGTCTCCACCTGAGCCCAGTGGGCCTTTGGGCTGCAGCCTCTGATACTCATGCCCTCTGCGTATCTCTCGTGGTCCTGCTCATGTGGTTGGCCTTCAGCTCCAGAGTCATCCACGGAAGCATGGGCTCCGGACTCCAACAGGACTAAGTTCCCATGAGGGACATCTACCTATGAACACAAAGGTCTCAGGTAAGCACCTTGACTTTATCCACACACATCTCTGTAGTGACTATTTTGAGAGTTCAGGAAGAAAAAAGTATAAAGTGCTTCACACATTGTCCACCAATCACACACAGTGGGATCCTCACAAAATCTAAAGACACCATCCAGCGGGTGTCACAGCGCATGCACGGAATGAATGGCTCACCTGGGCCCACCCTGCACAGCCTCCACTTTCCGCTGCTGAATCTGCTCCTGCCAGGACGCACCTGCCCCCTTTGCCCGGTTCCCAGGCCTCAGCCCCTCTGTGCCCGCTGCCCCTTGCCTCCTGGACTCACCCAGCACTGCCATCGAGGGGTCTGGTGGCTGACACACACCCCCTCCTGCGCAAGAGCCAGGGCTGTGTGGACAGCAGGGCCAATAAGATGGCAGTGGTCTGATTAAGATAGAATAAAATATGCAAAACAAAACGGAGTCACTCTTGTCAATCAAAATGGCTGTGAGTCAACCATGACAGTTTGGTTTCAGACGGAAACCAGTTAAGTAAGAGCAGACACATCTGGCAAGGAGACAAAGGCCAAGATAGCTGCGCAAGTGATCAGAGCAGCCTCTCTGCAGAGCGGTACCACCCACAGATGATAGACTCCTGGGGAAATTCCCCACTGACCAGCTGGGGTGTCAAGATATTTATTGAAAAGACCCAGAAGGGTGGAGTTCACCGCTTTCAAGGTATAACTGAGGCAGGCTCCAGAGCACTGCGAAGAGAGCCGAGCTCCGCACAGCAGAGTGCTGCTCCACGCCATGCTGACCTCCCTTGGCACTGGTTGCCGGAGGCTCTGCCCTGCTGGGCTGAGGATTTCATCTGCTGCCCACCTGGCTCTGGAGATCCTTCCTTCTTAAAGTTACAGGTATTTTTACTGTGATTTTGTTAAGTTTATAGGCTTAGCGGGAGAAAAATTAACTCCCTTAGCACACTAAACCTTCCAATACAGCAAAATACACTATATTTCCTTTTATTCGAATCGCCTTTCCAGTCCCTGGCATCTGTCATGCAGTTTATCACCAGGTCTTGCCCCCGGGCGGGGGCACTGCTGAGTCGCGGCCGCTATTCTCGGCGCTTCCTTATGGGTCTGCTCTTCACGTTCGTGCGCCTGCTGCTCTCGCGCCCCTGGAGGGTGAGCTCGGAACGCTCTCTCCTGGGTTGTCCCTTCGCTCAGAGCGGTGTCTATATCGCAGTGGGTAACGGACCACCTGTTCCTGAGGTCTCCCCCGCCCCGCCCCCGCAGCCGCCGGCCACGCCCACGCGGACGCCCCGCCCACAGCGAGGCCCCGCCCGCCCTGCCGCTGCGCACGGGACGAGTTGCAGGCGGAGCGAATACGCCGGGGACTCCGGACGCTGCGTAGCTTCCGGTGGTGGCGGCGGCGGATGGCGGTGAGCGGTCCCTAGAGGGTGCGCGGTTGGCGGGTCCTCGGGCCGTAGGCTGCCCCTCGTGACTCTCTTGCTGACTCCCTTTCCCCAGGCCCTAGAACATCCTGCCCGGGAGACACCGGCGACCCCGGGCCCACGTACAGCCCGCGCGCCTGGCAGCCCCTGGCGCCCCGCGCCGCTTCCCAGCGCCCCGAGTCCTTTTACTGCCCCGTCTCCCATCCATCTGTGTTCAGTGCATTCCACGTGCAGTGACGCAGCTTCCAGGGCGCATCCCATAGGCGGCGAAGGTGACGCAGCCTCTAGGAAGCAAAAGAAGAAGAAAAGCCGGAATAGGGCCTCTGTGTCTAATGGAGGCGGGAAGGCCTTGGAAAAGCCGGCCCCCGAGGAAGCCCCTTTAAGCCAGGAGTCCCAGGCAAGGACGGTCCTCAGTCGGGGAGGGTAGAGTCCCCTGGTGCATTCCGGGTGAGGGTCCGCCAGCGATTGTGGAGTCGAATTTGCGGTGTTAAGGCAGGGAGGGCGATGGGATGGGGGCGGAGGCCACAGGGTCCTCGTAGCCTTTTACAGCCATTGTCTCCAATCCAACGCAGGCGGAGCAGCTGGCTCGGGAACTGGCCTGGTGCGTGGAGCAGCTGGAGCTGGGCCTCAAGATGCAGAGACCCAACCCAAAACAGAGTGAGGGGCCCTTTCATACAGTTGGGTGGAGGCGAACCGTGGCAGCACTTTGGCCTGCAGATGCTGCCTGGGGGGTAGACTTGTTGCTTTGGCGTAGGAGGTGAGGTTCGAGGGGGTCTCTAGCCCTTCATTTTTGTCTGCAGAAGAGCAGGCTATTGCGGCCATTCGAACCCTGCGCAGTGAAAGAACCCCTCTGCCCCGGAAGAGGCAGCTCATGCGCTCCTTGTTCGGGGACTACAGGGCTCAGATGGGAGCCGAATGGCGCGAAGTCCTGCGAGATCTCAAGACTGGTGAGGAGCTGAGAACTTGGAGGACTGCCTAGTTCACAGTCCTCCAAGGGTAGGGAGGAAGAGCATAAGGAGTGAGAGGAAGAATCCCAGTGCAACAGGCCTAGTGAAGTGAGGGAAAGCCTGGACCTCGGGTGCACAGAACGCAGGCCTACTTGAGGAGGCAGGGGTGGGGGAGTCTGAATTCCCTGTGGCCTAAATAGGATGCGATGATAATACCTACCTTATAGAAGCAAATTAGTTGATTAACATATATCTTTAAATTTTTAATTTATTTTTAGAGAGAGGGGAAGGGAGGAAGACAGAGAAATATGTACGTGTGAGAGAAACATTAATCAGTTGCCTCTCGCACACCCCCACACAGGGGCCTGGCTTACAACCCAGGCACGTGCCCTCGCAGGGAAAGGAAATAGCAAATTTTCTGTTTGCAACATGACACCCAACCCACTGAGCCACACCAGTCAGGAAAGGAAGCAAATCAGTTAATTTATACAAAGTAGTTACAGTCGTATGGGCAGAGCTGGCGTTAGCTCTCATTACTCAGTTCTGACACACTGTCTTCTCTTCCACAGCAGCCCGCTCAGCCCAGGTGCAGCCCGTAGGAGAGGCCACCAGAAAGAAGAGCGGGAGGGTCTGCAGGCCTCGCCTGGCAAGGACAACCAAGGCCACCTTGGACACTCCTGACAAAGAGTTTAGGTTCAATTTCTTTTAGCCTCTCCCCCTCCCCTGGAACTGTGCCCCTCCCCAGAGGTGTGGGGTTCTGTCTTGAGTGCAGAACCCTACCACAAATACTGTGTCCCACGGATGTGGGGTCGGTCCATCCCTGCTTGGCCAGTTTATTTGGTGCCATGGTTGTCAGGTGTATGTGAGACCAGCATATCAAGTTCTGTGCGATAAGCAGAAGACCCCATTTGTGGGTCTTCAGATGAACGGTTCCTATTGCTGGAAAAGGGGGTCCTTTCAGAAAGGCTTCTGCAGTACAGGGAAGTGTGAGCACGTGGCAGGAGCAATATCTTGCCCAGTGTTCAGGGTGAGACCAAGTGGCTGAGGGTGCGTGCAGAAGCAGCATGATTGCACATTGGCACTCAGTGTGAAAAGGGCGTGCTGTCCCTCACTGTGGTGCTTTATACCACTTTGTCACGGTGGCGTAATAAAACTCTCATAAAAACGGATGAGTGAGAGTGTGTGCTAATTGCCTGTGTTAGACAAGGTACAGATGATGGAGGTGGCTGGCACTGTGGTTTCAGGCTTTCTTCCAGTGCACGGTCCTTTGTGTTGCCTTCATCCTGAGCAAGTGTCATCTTCAGGGACCAGTGTGGCCCCCAGCAGGCCAGCCTTTGTTCTGAGATGACCTCTTGGTGTATTGCCTGCTGCAGGCGGGAGTTCCCAGGTCTTGTGCTGCAGAATCGGGTTTTGTAGGGTTCTCAGCCCACCCCAGGGGCTTTGCTGGTGTCTCCCAGATTTGCATCCCAGACTAGACAGGTATCTAGAGCTCACCCACCTAGTCAGCATCTCTATCTTGACTGTCATAGACATTTCAGACTAATCCAGAGCATTCTGTTAGCCCCAGAGCCTTTATTTTCTGCTTTTTTGGGTTTGGCAGTACCACACGCCCAGTTGATTAGGGTGGAACCTGGGCTGCCCTTGACTGCTCTTTGATGCATGTGCTCAGTACCTCACTGGCACGTGAGCTCTGTCTTCAAAATAAAGTTCAGACCCTGACTGGCGTAGCTCAGTGGATTGATCGCGGTTCGATTCCCAGTCAGGGCACATGCCTTGGTTGCAGGCCAGTTCCCAGCAGGGGACTCACGAGAGGCAACCATGCACTGATGTTTCTCTCCCTTCCCTTATAAAAATAAATAAAATTTAAAAAAATAAATAAAAAAATAAAGTTCGGATCTTCTGTGCTTTCTCTAACTTCTCTGCTTGACCTTCTTACCCTGGCCCTCTCGTACTCTGACTGATGTGTGAGCCCCCAGGGTCCGACCCTGATGCCCACTCTCACATCCTGTCTGCAGTCAGGGTGGTTGATCTTCCATGCGCATCTGGTGCTATTTCTCTGACCAGTCACTTCCGTGTACCCAGGATACAATGTGAGGCTGGTGGACGAGGCCTTACGTCAGGTACCCCCTTTTTTAGGCTCCTGACAGCCTCTCTGATGTGGCCCCCTCCCCGTTCCTATCTTCTTGCTGCTGCTTTTAAAAATACATATATATTTCAGCCCTGGCTGGTGTAACTCAGTGGATTGAGTACGAGCCTGTGAAGCAAAGGGTCGCTGGTTCAATTCCCAGTTAGGGCACGTGCCTGGGTTGTGGGCCAGGTCCCCAGTAGGGGACACATGAGAGGCAACCACACACTGATGTTTCTCTCCCACGCTTTGTCCTTCCCCTCCCCTCTTTCTAAAAATAAATAAATAAAATACTTAAATATAAATATATATTTCATTGACTATGCTATTACAACTGTCCTAATTTTTCCTTTTTGCTCTCTATCCGCCTGGTACCCCCCTCCCCAGCAGTCCCCCCCGTAGATCATGCCACAGCGGTTGTACATGTAAGTTCTTCGGCTTCTCCATCCCATACACTGTTCTTACCCTCCCCCTCTCTAGTTTGCACCTACTGATGGGGGCTTCTTAACCTCTGCACCTTTTCCCCCATCCCCTCCCTTCTCTTCCCAGCTGATAGTCCTCCAAATGATCTCCCTTTCTATGATTCTGTTCCTGTTCTTGTTATTTGCGTAGTTTTTTTTTAGATTCAGTTGTGTATAGTTGTATACTTAATGTTCATAGTTTTGATCTTTTTCTTATGTAGTTCCCTTTAACACTTCATATAATAAAGGTTTGGTGATGAGAACTCCTTTAGTTTTACCTTATCTGGGAAGCACTTTATCTGCCTTTCAATTTAAAATGATAGCCTTGCTGGACAGAGTCATCTAGGTTGTAGGCCTTGGTTTTCATCACTTAATACTTCTTGCCAGTCCCTTCTGGCCTGCAGTGTCAGTGTATCTTTTGAGAAATCAGGCGACAGTCTTATTGGAATTCCTTTGTAGGTAACTCTGCTTTTCTCTTGCTACTTTTAAGATACTCTCCTTATTTTTAACCTTTGCCATTTTAATTATGGTGTGTCCTGGTGTGGTCCTCTTTGGGTTCAACTTGTTTGGGACTCCTCTTCTGTCACCCCTGTGATTTGGATGCTGGTGTGTCTGGAGATATCCCAGAGGCTCCTTAATCTAGCCTCATTTTAAAAATTCTTTTTCCAGCCAGTGGGCCGGGATGGGAGTAAAAGGCAGAAAACTGTACTTACTACAACAATTAAAGTAAAAAGATAAAAAATAAAAATAAAAAATATTTTTCCTTCTTGCTGTTCTGATTGAATGCTTTTTTCTTCCTTATGTTCCAAATCGTTGATTTGATTCTTGGCTTCATCCCCTCCACTGTTAGTTCCTTGTAGATTTTTCTTTATTTCCTTAATGTAATTTTAATTTCCTTCTAGGTCTTTTTTATGCCATTGCACTACCTAAGGAGTTTTTTGAGCAACCTGATAACCCGTGTTTTGTACTCTACATCTGATAGGTTGCTTATGTCCATTTTGTTTAGTTGTTTTTCCAGAGTTTTGTCCTATTCATTTGGGCCATATTTCTTTGACTCCTCAATTTGGCAGCCTCCCGGTGTTTGCTTCTGTGTATTAGGTAGAGCTGCTTTGACTCCCTCTTTTAGTAGCTGGCCTATTTGTAGAAAAGTCACCTGTCTGAATGAATGTGGCTCCTTTAAATCCTTCATTGTTGGACTTCCATACAGCTTGATTTTCTGATGAGTCTGGGTGATATTTGTTTTGTAGTCGAGTTGTAATTTTGGGTCTTGTGGGAGTTGTATGTGAAGGTGAAGCATGTTTACCTATGTACCTCCATCTTGACCGGAAGTCTGGCCGCTTCTGCAGGAATGACCTAGTCCTATCTCAAGGTCTTCAGTGGCCTCTGGGAGAGTAAACAGCTCTAGGAAAGTAACTGCCCTGCTCTGTCCTTCATGAGTTTGAGGTGGGAGGAGGGGTGCGCTGAGGTGAGCTCTGCGTAATGCTGCCAAGCTTCACAGAAAGGGCCCTGTAGCAGGTCTGGATTTTGGGAAGCACAGCACACGGAGAAAGAAGACTAAAGACTGGAGATGCGTGTGTGCTGCCTGCCCTGTGGGGGGGCACCATCCCCGCTGCCCTGCCTGTTGTTAGATGAGCTTTCTGCTCGGGACACGCCTCCCGAGGCTGCAGCAGCTGTTCTCTCACTCTCAGCAGTGTTTCCTCTGGGGCCTGTGTGTTGGGTGACCCCTTCCCCTGGCCTCAGTTCACCCGTCTGTAAATGGGGTGGGTGGAGGTGCTGGTGGGTGAGAGTAGCTGGAAGCCCTGACACACTCGCTGTGCCTGGTGTCCTGGTCTGGGCAGCAGGCCCTGGTGTGTGGGGGGAGTCTCAGGCCAACCCTTTTGTTGGGAGATTGTGGGAGTCCAGGTGCATTCAGGGGCTGTGCCCTGCCAGCAACAGCAGTGGAAGTATCCAGGTGGCAAGGTCAATGGTAAGGAAGTATTTCAGTACTTTACAACTAGTGCGGTGGTACTGGTATGTACTAGCTGAATATCATTTCTGTTTACATATTTTTTAATTTTTAAAACCTGTGTTAATTCCATAAAACTCAAGTGCTTTAGCCCTGACCGGTGTGGCTCAGTGCATTGAGTGCTGGCCTCCAGACCCAAAGGTCACCGGTTCCTTTCCCGGTCAGGGCCCATGCCTGGGTTGTGGGCCGGGTCCTTGGGTGGGGCCTGTGAGAGGCGACCAACTGATGTTTCTCTCTCACATTGATGTTTCTCTCCCTCTCTTTCTCCCTCCTTTCCTGTCTCTCTAAAATAAATAAAATATTTTTAAAACCTCAAGTGCTGTATGATTGTTATTCATTTATGTGACAAGCACGTATCGAGCTCCCACTCTCCATGACGTTGCCTGCTAGGCACAATAATGGGTCAGGTTTTCTCTCTCTATTGGCCTTTGCAGTTTAATGGGCACTAATAAAAATTCATAAGATGCTGAGGGTTTGTGCTCTAGGAATTCAGGGGAAGGGAAGTCCCCTCTGTCATGAGGCCCCGGGAGAAGACTTCGGGCCGGAAGCAGGTGGAGGAGGAGCCATGTGTAGGGAGGAGCATGCTCACTGGCCCCTTCGGAGGACAAGGCTCCAGGTTCAAAGGTCATCTTTGACCCTGGTTTAGAACCAGGGAAGCAAGTGGTGAGTGATAAAGGTGGCAGGCAAGTGCCGCTCCAAATGTAGAGGGTCTTTAATTAAAGAAGTTCAGACTTAATGTAATAGGTAATCAGAGACTGTTGAGGGGTTACAAAAAGAAAAGGAATGTGTGGTGGTATTTCGGTGAAATGGATCTGCTGGGGGCTGGAGACGTGGACTAGAGACGGGGTGGCAGGGAGGATGGAGAGGCGGTCACGGCCACTGGAGCCATGTGGGAGGAAGAGTGGATGTGGATCGTGAGAGAAGGGTCCAGGGAGACCCCAAGTGCAGCCTGGGAACTGAACAGGGTGGATGTTAACATCCCCATTTTACAGACAAAGCGACTGAGACCATATAGCTAATGAGTTGTTCAAGATTTCATACTCATGTGGCAGAGTGAAAGGTTCCAGCATAAAATGTGGGTTACTTCTTTACTAGTTTATTTTTATTGGTCTTCAGTGGCCAATAAAAAGGAAATTTTTTGGCCATAAAAGGAAATTAGCCATAAAAGGTTAAAATAATTTTCCATAACAAATGATCACAGTGCCAGATGCCCAGAGTCTGACATCGAGGTGTCAGCAGCATTGGCTCTTCCTGGAGCCTCAGGAGGAGGGTCTGTGCCAGCCTCTCTCCTGGCCTCCAGCGATGCCGGCAACCCTGTGGTCCCTTCATCCTCCCGTGGCCTTCTCCCCTGTGGTGCCCATGACCGTCAGGGAAGGATGGTCACCATTGGATTAGGGCCCACCCTAATCCAACATGACCTCACTTTCACTTGGCTAATTACCTCTGCAAAGACCCCATTTCCCAGGATGTTCACATTCTGAAGTTTCAGGTGGACGAGAATTTTGGGCAGGACACTGCTTGATGCAGCAAATGGTGTGTATCCCTCTCGGCCCTTTATGTGCATTTGTACACACACATATCACAGCCATAAGTAGGTGTTAAATGTCAAATGAAGTCAAACAGTCTGGAAGCTGGGCCAGAGATGAATGACAGGGATTTCTTTCAGAGCCTTAGCGTTTGCAAACAGAAACTCAGCTTGGCAAAAACCCTGTTATGTGCAAAGGAGAGAAAAGAGGAAGATTGTTATAATAAAAAGCACCTTCCTGAGAATTATTTGTCCTGCATCCTTAGCCCTAGGATTGGTTCTGGATGGTTATCAGTCACCATGACAGACGCCAGGTGGTCTGGCAGGTGGACACCAGGAGGTGTGGTCATGTTCTGTGGTCTGGATGATGGACGTCAGGGGTTGTATGTGGGAGACCTACGGGAAAGTTAGAAGCTTACCTGAAGGCAAACAACTTTTTAGTATTGTAATATAGACTATATGAAACAACCTTGGGAAATTACATCTGTGTATGATTTTTCTAATGAGAATGTGATGTTACTTTACAAGTTTCTTTTATGTGGGTCGCATGTAAAAATGTTCATTCAGATCATGAATACTCTGGTTAAGTTTATTCCCAAGCAC